GTGGGGGTCAGGGGATTTGGAGGCGGCTTGGGATGCGAAATGCGATATGTATGATGGACAATGAACCACCTGCAAACTGGACCCAACCCCCTACCCCCCCCCCCACATCCCTCCGCCTACCCCCCGACCCCCACCCCACCCGTTTCAGGTACTTGGTGATTGAGACTCGCAAGGACGGCACCAAGTTCACCAACCGGGCCTTGCGTGACGCGGCTGAGCGCCTGAACGCGGCCTCGGGGCAGTACCTGGCGCTGCAGTCGGAGCTGGTGGAGCAGGTGCGAGGGGGGGCCGGGGGAGAGGGGGGAGAGGGGGGGGGTCGACGGGTTTTAGGTCGTGATAGAGCTTAATGAGTGATAAGGAGAAGGGCAGCGGTGGGGCCGCTGGGGGTCTACCGGTGTATGTGGGGGGGGCGGTAATGAGGTCGGGTAATGGGGCTGGTCGGGGTAGAGGTGTGTTGAGGTGTGTGTGTGTGTGTGTGTGCAGTAGGGTGATGCTACATATATAGGGATATGTGTATATGTATATATATGTGTATGTGTAAAACATATGTACATATATATGTACATGTACATACATATGTGTTGTGTATGAGTGTGTTTTTAAGTGAGTGTGAGTGTTGCACTGGCTGACTCCCAACACGCCCCGCGCCCTGGGCCCCGTCCTACCACCACCACCACCACTACCGCCACCGCCACATCACCCGCTACCACCGTCACACCGTCCCGACCAGCCACGCCGTTGTAACTCCACCCCAACCGACACCAACCGACAGCAACGAATCTCCAACGGATTTCCAACCAACTACCTCCCGCCCTTTCTCGTGGTTCGTCTTTCCCTCCCTTCCCCGCTAAGGTCGTGTCGGTGGCCCATACCTTCGTCGAGGTGTGGGAGGCGGTGGCGGCCATCCTGGCAGAACTGGATGTACTGCTGTCGTTTGCGGAGGCAGCTGACGTGGCGCCGGTGCCGTACGTACGGTAAGTATGTACACACATCCGCCCAAGGAAGTGGGGTCAGTGTAGCCCTAGTCGGTGAAGTCCTCCTGGGGTGGCAGGGGGGGGAGGGGGCTGCTCTGGGGGGGCGAGAACATTTTGTTTGTGTTTTGGGGTTCGAGGGGCTCATGTCGCTGTTGAGGGGCCTTTCGTCATAAAGCTGTAGCGGGTGCGACTGCTGCTATTGCTACTGCTACTGCTATTGCTACTGCTATTGCTACCGCTCAACGCAGCGACTGTCTCTTTGTGTACTTGTTTGTATGTGTGTGTGTTCGTTTGGGTCTTGACCTTGTCCTGCGGCTGCTGTGTGGTATGGGTTCGGCCGGGATTCGAACGGCTGACCCCTCCAGTGCTATTCATTATTCCATCAAGCACTTCCCACTCCAATGCCCCCCACCTACACCGATTCTTGTATCGCTGGCCTTTTTTGAATCCCCCCAACATTCCCCCAACATCTTCCCCCCTTCACACAATTTCCACACGCACACTTACATACATACATGCAGGCCCGACATGTTGGGGCCTGACGAGGGCATCATTGAGCTGCGGGAGTGCAGGTAGGGGCGATAGGGAGGAGGGGGGAGGGGGGGGGCGAAGGGGGAGGGAAGGGGGGAGGGGTGCCTCGCGGTTTAAGTACTCCCTTGTGCAGGCAGCAGATGTTTAAAACTCTAATTTTAGAGTTGCGGTTGTTGGACGGTTGTTGGACGAGCAGACAGTCGGCCAATCGACCTTATTGAGCCTCCCTATGATGCTCATTTCACATCCCATTTCATCATATCATCACATCGTGATGACAGTCTATTGAACCCCCAGCATCGTACGGATGGCAATTCCTCTCCCCCCGGAAGTGGTGTATAATTTTGCGGAATTGTCGGGGGGCCCATTTTTGCGCACAGTGATGCGAGCATATATTTCCTGTACGACATTTATCGGCCAGCCTTACCCCGCCCAGCCCGACCCACCGGCTGCATCCATCGCTTCCATGCGATTCTCCCCCCTCCTCACATACCGCCCCGCTTCCTGGGCGCCCCCCCCCCTTTTCCGTACGTGAACCTCCTCCTCTTCCCCCCCCCCAGACATCCCAATGTGGAGGTGCAGGTGAGAGAGAGAGACCCACGGGTCGTCTGACGTGTCCTTGACCTTGTCCTTGTTAGGAGTGTGAGCATGTGTCTGTGTGTGTGAGTGTGTGATTTGGGGCCCCGCATTCCCTGACCATGATACCTCTACCTGATTCCTAGCTTTCCAGATGGTTCTGATCCGTCCGGGGTACTGGTTACTGCGGAGTACCTGTCCTCCGTTGCGGCCATCATCAACCGCAACCGGACAGCTGGTCGGGGTATTTATGGATGTGATGTGATGTGCAGAACTGCTTTGCTTTCCAACTAGTCTGCCCATTCCAATAGCACTGCTTGCCTGGGCCCTGTACGGCCCCACGTGGGACCCCCTCCCTCCCGCCCCCGCCCCCGCCCCCTCCCTTAATGTGCAGGACGGCGTGTCCTTCATCGTTAACGACTGCGTCATGAAGCGCGGGGAGAGCTGGTTCCAGATCATCACGGGGCCCAACATGGGGGGGAAGTCCACGTACATCCGCCAGGTGAGGTGTGTGTGTATAAGGGGGGGAGGCGGGGAGGAGGTGTATGGGGGGGGGAGAGGGGGGGAGGTGTGCGTGTTTGGGG